TTAGTTGAGCACAGGGACAAATTTCTCTTTTTTTTTTCACTTCAATAGCCCAAGTTTCCTCAACATCTGTAGTCCTTGAAAACATTGTATCATGCTAATATGGCAGTGCTGTTAATGCACTGTGTCATTCATTGCCCATAGTGCACCATTGTCAACTCTGGAGAAACTCAGAGAAAGATGGGTTGTGCATATAACACACTCAAATGATATTTCCAGTAAGGGAACTGAACTGTGTGACAAAGCGGTGGCTATATTCCTCCCTGTTCATACTGTAGCAGGTTCTATCATTTCTCCAGCATCTGTCTTTCAGTCTATAGTTCAACTTACTCTCGACTCTACTATGGATGATTTATCAGATTATGTGCCTAGCATCTCTGCTTTGTATCCTACTGTTCCTAGGTTCAAATCTTGGCACAGAGACTGTCTCTCCTGACCAACATGTACCATGGTTTACCTCATTTTTTCAAGTAAATGCAGAAATATTGCCTCAAATTGGAACATGAACACTTTCTCCCAGTTTTTTTTATTTTGAGAGGTTGGGTCAGAATAAGTCCTTTGGTATTGCAACCTCAAATGGGCCCATTATACCAGCCCTAGATGATAGATCAGTATAGAATGTTGGTGGAGGGATAACTGACAGGGTAAAGCCAAAGTTTTCACAGAAATACTTGCTGGTATACCACTTCATCCACTAAAAAACCAACATCGATTAGCCTGTAATTGAACTGGGATTTCTGTTATAAGAAACCAGCTTTGTTGTTTACTTATCGTCCTTCCATTCCAATACAGGGTGTCTGGATGAAAAGTGTCCAAAATGAAATAATTATATCTCAGAAAGCTTTTATTATACACATTTATGGGTTAAACCATTACAATGGAAACTATCAAGTTTTTTTCTGAGTACATAATTTTCTCAATACATTTCAATGTGGGCTCCCTTGGTGGCACGACAAATATCCAGGCGATCCAGCATGCTTGGTGTTACCATGGCCACAGCGCCCCTTGTGCGGGCTTTCAGGTGTTGCATGTCATTGATCTTAACCTGGTAGACAATGTTCTTCACATAACCACACAAGAAGAAATTCAGTGGGGTTAAATCTGGCGACCCAGGAGGCCAAGCGATTGATCCACTCCTGCTGATCTATCTCCCAGCCATCACCCTGTCCAAGTGGTTCCTAACATGGTGGCAGAAATGTGGTGGCGCATGCGCATAAGCCGAGCATGGAAGAACACTTACATGGTTTTCCTTCCCGATGACATAATCCAGATATGTGTATGACAATTACTTTCAGAGATATACATTTTATGTTTCGGATATCTTTCATCTGGACACCCGATTCTATATGAATCAGTTACTGAAAGTGTTCTTAACCCTTTCTGTGATATGTAGAAGATATTATGCTTCTGAACATTGGTCCTTACAAACTAAATTTATGTGGTGCTCGAAAACAGCGGAAGAAACATTACGCAGCGTCCGTGCTCAGTAGTTTGAAACTAACTCCTTGTGGCATTTCAACATCAGAGAAGTTATTAACAGTAACATTTGTTAAACAGAAAATTTTGGTTACCCCTTGAATATTGGGTTCACAAACTAGCTCAATGAATTGATGATAATTTTTCAACCTCCTTCATATTCAACATTCAGATCACCCTTGACGTCTTCTAAGTATAAATTGATTGATTATACAATGTCTGCTGGACAGCACTATATGTTCCCAAAATTGACACACACGTGTCTCTAGTCTTAGGCAGTTTTTTGTCAGTGAAACAGATGATTTTAGAGAGGTCAGGATGTCACGTAAATGTGTAGTGTTGTCCTTTTGTATAGACTCTTCAGCCATATTTAATTTAAAGATTTTTTACCTCTGTGTTCATTACTCCCCTGTATTTGTCTTCAGTATCAGGTCATGACTTTCAAAGCAGTTGTAATGTTGTCTTTTTTCTCCTAGGATATGTAACTACTTTAAATTAGAGTCTTGATATTACTGATAGACTGATTTATTGTTTCCTTATTCCAATCATTTCTTTGCTAGAAATTTATATTACATCAAGTATTGTTTAATTTTCATTTCTGCATCCTGTTGTGTAATTGGAGTCCATCGTAACACAACAACATAATGTTAAGATTATAATAACCTTAGCTACTACATGTTTTGGCTTTTAAAGCTATCATCAGGCAAACATATGATTACTACATTCACACACTATTGAACTGCATTTCATTGTGATAGTAAAGCTGAATACTTGATAAGTGTTACATTATAAAATATATGGTATAAATAATAACAGTAAATAAATAAATAAATAAATAAATAACATACATCGCTAAATCAGTTGCAAACTGTATTCCCAACAGAATGGACAAAATTCATTTTAAGATGAAGCACCGGCCAAACAATTAATGTTAAATAACACTACATCTATACCACGTGGCTCCAAGCAGTTTACTATATGTATACAAGTCTAGAATATACCATCATGTCCGCGGGATATTACAAGATTGCAACAACTGACTTCATGATATGCAATCTCACATGAAGAGTTTTTAATCATTCATATAACTTTCGTTTTATAATAAGTTTATAATTCATTGTATTTTTATACCATATATTTTATAATGTAACAGTTATAAAGTATCCAGCTTCACTATCGCAATGAAATTGCAGTTCAATGGTGTGTGAATATAGTAATCATGTGTTTGCCTGATGATGGCTTTAAAAGCCGAAACATGCAGTAGCTTAGGTAATTGACTCCAATAAAGAATTGTAAGCATTGTTTAATTTATAGTTCTCTTGAGGAAGTAAACTCTGTGCGCAGCCGAGATGTTTCCGTAATAGGAGTTATCTCTATCACTTTATCCAAGTCAGAAGCATTTTACTTGAGCTAACTCGATTCCCCTCCTAGAAAATGTTAGGACAAAACCTTAAAATAGACCATGACTCATTCCTATAAACAGTTCTCTAAAGGTCTGTGACAGTGTTTGCTTCGCTGCCACTACACCAATGTTATGCTAGACACTATTCACCATTTGTTATACATGACATACACGGTGTGTCCAGGATCCGTTGGGACTCATTTTTTTTAATTTTTGCCCTGCATTGCCATCTGTTGGCGAGTTGTGGCGTTAAGATTTTTGAAGTTTCATCTGTGGCCGTCTATAATTTCAAAGCGCAAGCATCGCTGCATCATGTGTTCTGACCTTGAATGTAATAGAACTGTTCTGACGCTTGTCGGAAAATGGCGTTCGAACAGAGAACCAACATCAAATTTTGTCTGAAGTTAGGCAAAACAGCCGGAGAAGCTTACGAAATGATGAAGTGTGTACAGTAGTGACTGTTTGAGTCGCTCGAACATTTTTCGATGGTATGCTGTATTTCGTGACGGCAGGGAGGACATTAAAGACGCTTCACGTGCATGAAAGCCGAGAACAAGTCGCACTGAAGAAAATTTGAAAAAGTGACCGAAAGCCTTGCATCAGACAGGTGTGTTTCTGCAAGACTCATCGAGGAGCTTTTGGGAATACCAAAAATTACTGTGCATCAAATTTTGACCCATGATTTGGGCAAACGGAAGTTCTGTGCGCGGTTTGTACCACACGAGCTGTCAGGCGATGAAAAACATGCCAGAGTGGAACACCGCAAAGACATGTTACGGTCGGCCCAAAGTGATACAAAATTTACAAAATCGATTGTTACTAGTGACGAGACATGGTGCTTTCAATATGAGTCTCTCACAAAGTGGCAGAGTGCAGCGTGGTTGAGCCCAAAGAAGCCGAAACCAAAGAAAGTGCGCATGCAAAAGAGTCGAGTAAAGACACTTCTAACCGTTTTCTTCGATTCCAAAGGAATCATTCACAAGGAATTTCTGCCAGAAGGTCAAACAATGAATTCTGATTATTATCTCAGAGTCCGCAATCGTTTGTGGGCGAAAATTCTTTGAATTCGACATGAATATCGAGAGCAAGGTTCCTGATCGCTCCTCCATGACAATTCTCCACCCCACAAATCGAAGACCGTGCACGATTTTTTGACCAGAAATGGGATCACAGTCCTTAATCATCTCCCGTATTCCTCAGATTTGGCTCCAGCAGATTTCTGGTTGTTCCCAAAAGTTAAGTTGCCGATGAAAGGAGACCGTCACGACACCATCCAAGGTATCCAAAGGGAATGTACCACAGTTTTAAATGCGATTCCTCAAAAGGAGTACAGTGACTGTTTTCGAAAAATTTTCAATCGATTCCACCTATGTATTGATTCAGAAGGGGAGACTATTTTGAATAAAAAGAGTGAAATTTTGAAAATAATTCACGTCTTGTATTTTTAATGAACACAGTCCTAACAGAACCTGGACACACTGTGTACATGACATTTTAAGAGCTGAATCTACTCCCATTTTTGGGTGGCTGCTCATCATTGTACTGACAGATTATTTTTCTGTTGGAGAATTAATAGTGGCAGTTGTGACTGAGCCCAGAACTAGATATGAGGATCTCATATACCTCAGATTACAAACAATTTCCAATATACACGTAACTTTTGTGTGATGCTTCCCCAGTTCATCACTCAAAAGTATTCTGCCATTTAACACTATATGATGTAGGTGCCTGAGTAAATGTAACAGCATAAACTTACAAATGATACCAGTGACTTGCAACTATGACAAACACAGCAAGGACTAATGAAAAGTTTTCTCTTATGAGATGTAACGCCATGTATTCTGGCGAAAGTGCTGGTTCTTTTGCCCTTTTCTAGCTTGGCTTAGTTTTCAACTCTGAAGATGGAGGCGACATGTTCTTTTGAGAAGTCAGTTGACTTTCACTAGACTACATGGCATTATATCCCAGAAGACAGTGCTCTTCATAGCCATCTTTACTACCATGAGGACACAGGAACTAATGTTAAACTGTGCAAGATTGGAAATTCCTGATATTGAATGTGTATGAAATCACACTGGAAGTTTCTGACGACGTGTTTGAAAGTGTTGTATATTTCATGTTCCAGGACATGTATGCTGGAGCGGAGTCGTGAGATGATGGATCACTTGAAGGAGCTAGGTGTGGGTAAGAACCCCATCATATGGGTGGGACATTCAAAAGGTGGCCTCTTTGTTAAGCAGATGATAGTTGATGGTAAGTATCACCTTGAAGTTTCTCTTTGTACAGAATAACAATGAATTTTACGATCCAGATAATTCAGACTAGGCTATAGGGTGGAACCAAGGGATCAGGGGGCGATTTCTGACAGTGGGAAGAGACTTTTCTCTTCTCGACAATGGCCAGACTGGCTCCAGATTCCACCAAGCTTCCCAACCAATGTGTACCAAGGACTATTTCCCAGTCATAAAGCAGCCAGGGTGTGAAACTGACCACTCACCTCTGTTACTACCGATATTAAGAATGTGTGGAACTATACCTCCACTCCTTCACAAGTCTTTGTGGTGTGGTGCTCAACTAAGCAGAGGGGCTTCTTTATCTTTACATTATACTATAGCATTGCTTATCTTTACATTATACTATAGCATTGCTTATCTTTACATTATACTATAGCATTGCTTATCTTTACATTATACTATAGCATTGCTTATTTTTTATCATGACACAATTGGTAATGAATATATAAGCATTTATGGTAATGGTGTAACTTTGAATCCAAAGAAGATATCATGGAACAATTTAATAGTAATTATCACAAGTCTGAACCTACTGAAAAATCAATTCAGGATTTGTACTGGAACAAAATAGACTGGGACTTTATGGACACCTGTATTGAAATTCACATGTGATGACTGACAAGTGAAAGTTTGTCACACTGAGAGAGACTCAAAGCTATACAATTGCAATGTTGTGACATCTTGAGCGTTAATTTCACTGTCAGAGCATTGTGTTGCTGAACCCCAGCAATGCATTCTTTTGACCTGGCAACTGTCTATACCATGCATATACTTACTATTATGTGATTGTCATTTTAAGTATGCAGATATCTAATACACTGTATCTGTAGTCTATCTGTACAACTTCTGATGTCTGTACTCTTAGTACTTTATTAATAAAACATGAAGGTATTACTAAAGTGAGGCAACTACTTGAAATACTTTATTTTCATCAAAAGTATACACACTTACTATGGCTTCTGTCAACTTCTTCAATTCAGAAATGTAATTTAGATGCCAGTTAAGTCTTTCTAACTTCACAGATAATCATTCACTCTTTACATTACACAAACTTTCTTAATGAATGAAGTTAAATAGCTAACCCATTTGTAAGCTTTATAAACTCTAATGAACGTATTTGGAATTTTGTGAACTATATTATGGAATATAGTCTTTAGCTGCTAAGTAATGAATATCACAGGTTCTTTCTATATGAGATGACAGAAAAACTGATAATCTTGTGAGTGCAATTTGCAGTAAACTATGCGGTACAAATTCAGCAACTGACTGTGCAATGGGCAGAGGGCACAACATAATGTGTTTCCATGGTGGCAAAAGCTTACTGCATGTACTGCAGAATGAGTATTATTTGTCAAATGTATGCACTCAGAAGTCTAGTAATCATTTATGAACAGCGGCCTCCGTAGTCTAGGGGTAATGTTCCCACCTCATGACTCAAGGTACGCGGGTTCAAACCCGGTGGAGGTCGTGGAATTTTTAAGGGCGGAAAAATTCAGGGAAAAAGTCTTCCGGGAGGGACTTTAAGCCGTGGGTCCCGTGTTGTAGCTTTACGGCACGTAAAGGAACCTCATGTCTCAAAAGGGGACCTCTGAGCCAAATTCAGGACATTTCCTGCCCAATAGTAGTCTCTAACGCCTATGGTAGATGGGGGAAGCATCGAGATACTGCTGAGCCAGTAGAGGCTGAACTCGCTGGCTGAGTCGGGACTGATGGCATGCACCAGTACCGGTAGGGTATAGAGACTGGTAGAATATCATAAGGGGATGCACAATGGACCAATACCTGGTCTAAGTGCATGGGGAAACCCACCCCCTCCAATAACAACAACAACAACCATTTATGAACTGTATTACTGTATGCATGGTTCTGTATGGGTGTGAAACTTGGTCTCTGACATTGAGGGAGGAACATAGACTGAGGGCGTTTGAGAACAGGGTATTGAGGAGAATATTTGGACCGAAGAGAGATGAAGTGGCAGGAGATTGGAGAAAACTGCAATATGAAGAGCTTCATAACTTGTACTCCTCTCCAAGTGTAAGTAGAATGATCAAGTCAAGGAGGATGAGGTGGGCAGGGCATGTAGCATGAATGGGGGAAAGGAAGAATGCATGTAGGATATTGGTGGGAAAGCTGGAAGGAAGGAGACCACTGGGAAGACCAAGGTGTAGGTAGGTGGACAATATTAAAATGGATCTTAGAGAGATAGGATGGGATGATATGGATTGGATTGGTCTGACTCAGGATAGGGACTGGTGAAGGGCCCTTGTGAACATGGTAATTAACCTTCAGGTTCCATAAAATTCAGGAAAATCATTGAGTAGCTGTAGATTTGGCCTCTCTTCAAGAAGGGCTCAGCTACATAAGTAAGTAAATAAGTATTAAAATATACATGAGAGTGAATAAATTTTATGGACAGAAATTTTATGTCTGGTTAACAGCATATGAGAGAGGAGATGACAAACTTTCTGGATTTTATGGCAATACACGTGGCATCATGTTCTACAGTGTGCCTCATCGGGGCTCACCATGCGCACAAATTAATCTTCCGCTGTTGAGACAATCAGTAGAGCTAACAGAAGTGCAAAAAGGTAAGTAGGTATAGTCTGTAGAACTTGAGGTTCTCATGGCAGTGAATAGAAATCTGCTGTGTCATCTAGTTGTAAGGTGCCTATGTTTCTGAGGAACCTGTTGCCTCATCTTTGGGTTAGAAGATGCTTCTGTCTTCAGAACATTGGTACCTTTTTACTAGAGTACACATTCCAGAAGAATTCTGGATTCTATGATTCTATGGAACACAGCACGGGGATCAGCAGTTGTTGTCTTAAACAATAGTCCACACCCACAATACTGTGCCTGTGTTAACTGGTACCAGTGATCTATGGATATTTTGGCCTCAGAAATGAGTTGGTGTTCTATTACGATAGTAAATCCAGCATAGCCACAGAGCAAGCCAAAGACAAACCAACAAAATCATAAACAAACCTGTGAATAACAATAGTTCAAGAACATGCAAATAAAACAGCTGGTTAATCCACATATCCTAGAATTAATCTGAAGCAACTACATAAGAAAAGCAGAAGAGTATTATAGTGAGCAGCGGATTCCTTCATCACAGCAACCTGTGCACCTGATGATAGCCAGTTAGGCCAAAACCTGTAGTGACAATATTTACCGACATTGTACATAGGTGGCAAAAAACAGAACTCAAAGTCAGGTCCACAATGGTAACTGTTGTCCTTCAAATAATGATGGAGATTGAGACACATGAATTTAAATCTGTATAAAATGTTGTTGACCGCCTCTGTGTTCTAGTGGTCAGAGTTCCTGGCTACAGATTTAGAGGTCCGGGTTCGATTCCCAGTGCTACCAGATTTTTTCTGAGTAGTGGGTCTGGAACGGGGTCCACTCAGCCTAGTGAGGATAATTGAGTAGCTATTTCAAGGAAATAGCGGCTCCGGTTTAGAAAACCGAAATTAAAGGCCATGGGGATTCGTTGCGCTGGCCACGCAACACCCTCTATCCGCTAAAGTCGGTACTAACTTCGCTGACAAGCAGCAGTCGATCACTCGGTATATTTCGCTTGTGGACTAAAACCACAGAGTTTTTTTAATAAGATGTTGTTACTATTTTATAAATTAAAACAAAAAATAGCCAAATTTTAATATGTAGTGAACACAACAGGCTTTGAAATATGCCCTATTGACACATGTATCGGTGTTCTCACTGTTACCAATGTAAATGATTTGACAAACATAATTTAGCATACATCTAAATATCTACTCTTGATAGTCTGTAATGAATTTCAGACCCAAGATCTTTGGACCTATGCTCCATATCTCTGCAGATGATGCATTATATAGCACATAGGACTCTGAATCTGAAAGATGCACAGAACTGAAGACAGAAGTTTAAGTTTCTGGCTGAAAATGTGTAGATTGATTTCAAGTTTGTGTAGTCATTTTTATATGGAGTGATGTCTCTTTTTACAGACTGCCGTGAGGTGCTGGAACTGCATGAAAAATTTCTGTCACTCATTGAGGAGCAGCAGCTAGAAGCTGAGATTTTCAGTTTCATTGAAACAGTTCAAACATTCATGACTTTCCTTTACATTCAGATAGTGTCCATTGAGTCTGCAGGTGAGTTTACCTGGTAGCCCCAAAATTGCTTGTGTTTTCTAAAATTGAAAATGATGGAAGTATAAAGATGTTAATTGATCCAAATAAAATTTAATTTGAGAAAGACCATCTTAATTTTTTTTTCCTCCTTGGCACTACAGCCCCAGTGGGCCTAGGCCTACCTCCATGAACTTCTCCGTTCACTTCGTTTTTTCTAGATCTTACACATACGGTAGGACTTCTTGGGCTGGTGATCAGCTTGTCGCATGGCCTCTACCTGTACACAAACACAAAAAAATGCACACACACAAACTAAACAGCCATACCCTGATTGGGATTCGAACACATGATCCCGGTTTCCATGCGAGCAAAGACAGTACATGCCTTAGACCGCTCGGCTACCATGACTGGCTCTTAAATATTTAACATGTATACATGTTATATATGATATGAATTCTTCATGGTGGTGGCGATTCATACTGTGTGGGGTCTTCTGGATTATGACATGCATTGTGGTGGGTGGGTACTATCATTTCAGAGGAATATACCGCCTCCATCTTCAAGGTCTTAACTGAATAATTAACTTATGCTTCCATAACCTCAAAATAACTATTCAAGTGATTCATATCAGATTACTTTAATCCCATTTTTAACCTACTTTCTAGCACATTATATGTCCAAACTGAAAACATTCAATTATCAATTAATGTCTGATAATTTTTCAAGAACACTATTATTTTATTTTTAATAACGGATTATTTATTATAAGAAAAGATGCTGGTATTGTGTACTATTGCACACCACCAGCAAAATAACCATTGAAAGAATTCTTCCGTTACTATCCATTCCAAACCATGCACAGCAAGTCTAACAATGTCTTTGTATCAAGGTTTACTAACTAATTTGCCAGTTTAAATAGTTGTTTGGTATGAATAATACAAATGTTAATCATTATCTAGCTAGAGAAATAATTTAAAAAGTAACTCTCTCAGTATAATCTTGAATAGTCACTCATCCATTATTTTATTAATGGATCAATAGAATGTTTGTAGGGTAAATATAGTTATGTCTTTAGACACAACTCGTTTTGCTACAGCATCCAAAATTGTGACTTTAATAACAAATTCACTTGCAGATCTTGGGATTGGTGAACTGTGTGGTGCTCCATTGGATCATAGAAACATTTGCAAGCCGTCAAGCAGGTTGGTTGTGTATTTTCAAACCAACAAACTGTTTTACTGATAGCACAAGATAATATTTATTATCTGAAAATAAGGTGTAAAATCACAGACTTTAGGTATGTTTTAATGACAAAACAAGAGCACCAATGAAAGAGATTTATTTATTTATTTATTTATTTACTTCATATCCATGGATCATTATACATGATATAGGACAAGTCAAATACTTTATAATAATAAATAATAATAATAATAATAATATAATAAATANATACCACTGTACGCCTCAAGACCTGATCCTTCTATCCCGGCACAAAATACCCTGGTACCCTCAATCTTGTTCCTGTAAGAAAAAAAATACAGAGTAGGGCAATAGGCATCCCTATAACATTACTAATATTAAAATCTACAGGTTATTTATTCTTGAAATATATGTTTACAAGTGATTAGAACTAGGATTTTCCCCCAAACAAGAGAAACTCGTCTATACTATAGAAACGATGATCAAGCAGGAATGTCTTCAAAGTCTTTTTAAACTTGTATAGTACTGGTATCTCTTTAATATACTGTGGCAACTGATTTAACATACGAAGTCCAATATTAATGAAATTGTTTTTGTATAGACTCATATTACATGGCACTATGAACAAGTCCTCTTTTCTCCTTGTATTGTGCAAGTGTATTCCTGAATTGGTTATGAAAACATTCAAATTGGTTTTTATGTAAACTAGAATTTCATATATATACAGACATGGTAAAGGTAATATATTGTCGCGTATCGGGCGTATATCGCGACAAATAACTTCACGCCGTATTTGATATAGCGAATTTTATTTCACATTCGCTCATACAATCACCCAAATTACAGATTTAAGATTACTGCTATCTGCAGTATCACAAATAGTACGCTCCAAATGCCACAATACAACTGACTGGTTGCTGGCTAACTCGGAACTAACGTAGCTCTAGGACTGACTCGTAGGTAGCTCCTGGACTAACTGACTGTGAATAGCCTTCGCTGCTCCTTATGTAGCCTCGATCGGACAATACGGAAAACGGCCACGTAACAGGCACCCTTGTTGCCTGGTGCTGTGTTGCTAGTAACGCTAGCGGAAGTAACCGCTGTTACTACTTGGTGACGTCACCGCTGTTGACTCGCGTTGCCTAGCGACCAGGATGCTAGGACTCGGCTAACATCAGCTCGCTTCGGCTTCACTCGGCGCATCACGGCTGGCGGGGGGTGGGGGAGGGGCATCATCCATAGCTCAGCATGTCACAATATGTAGCAATTTAAAATATTGTTTACAACTAATTGTTTTTGGGATTTGTATCATAGCTCTAATAGCTCTCTTCTGCAACCTGAAGATTAAGTTTGCATTTCCTGAATTGCCCCAAAATATCAATCCATATAATAACAAGGATTGAAAATAAGCATACTATAAGGTGCGAACAGTCTCTAACCCTGACACTCTTTTGACTACTAGTAAGGGAAAACATATTTTACACAATTTATTTGCTAGTTGTTGAGTATGTGCAGTCCACCTCAAAATTTTGTATGTTCTGTATAATTGATGACTGTATCGTAGAGCTTTATTGATGAGCATTCGACTTGTACTTTTTCAGGTTGATGAAAGGATATTGCTCTTGATTTTTCTTTATTAATAGTTAATCTATTCCTTTCAAACCACTCTGTGAGTCCATATATTGTTTTATTTATTTTCCTTTGCACCAAGATTTCAAAAGAAGTTTTGTTGTTCATGGTAGTTAATTGCATGAGATGTCTTCAGGTTCTTGGGCTCATAATTGTCACTTATATGATTTCTACAACACAGTTCATGCGGGGCAGACCATATAAAAAATTGTATTCCCATGCCAGAATGGTTTATTTATCTTCAGAATTTCATGTACACAAAATTGTAGTACCACATTTATAAGTACTGGAATAGATAACCACTTATAGATGTTAATTCTGTTCTTGGGTTTTTATACTTGTGGTTTTGGGCGATGTTGCCATTGTTTTAGAGGTGTATGTTGCCTTCATCTTCAGAGTTGAATTGTGTAAGTTGGTGAGTTCCTGTTGTAGCATTCTGTTTTTAAATGGAATGGTGGAAGGCTAGATAGAATGGGAATTGGTGCCTCATCTAGGCCAGTAGAAACACTGGAATTGGAAAGTTATGAAGAGCTCATTTAATAGCCAAGGAATGCATAAAAAAGCCCATCAGCAGCTGATGTTCTCAAGTTGTCACCCATCTAAGTGCTCACCAAGCAAAGTGTTTCTTAACCCAAACAGTGCAAAGATCACTGTGAGTTGACACTAGATTTCCCAAGGGATGGGAAGGAAGAAGCAAGCATAAGAAGAATGGTCCAGGAAAGTATGTCAAACGGCCATTTTAAGGGCCAAGAAAAGCATGTAAATAACCCTGGCAACTGATGTTCTTGAGTGATCACCCATTCAAGTGCTTACCAGGCAAAAGTTTCTTAACTTGCTGCTGTGGGTTAAGCATGGTGGAGCATGGTGGGGAGGTCACTGTGAGTCAGCAGACTGTTTCCAGGGATGGAAAGGGAGAAGAATGCATGAACCAAAGTACATCTTGGTAGGCAGATGGTTATTAGACTAGGGCTGTTGGTAGGTTGGGGTTTGTCCCAGGGTGAGGATCCTTCCTTAATGGAGTTGTAGTAGCTGTTCTTCCATATTGTGCGGGCTTGGTGGGAAGTACTGTGCTTGCTGATTGCTTCCTGCTGCTTGCTTGGCTTACTCTTTGACCCTGAAAATGGAGGAAGTATGTTCCTCCAGAGTGGTGAATTTCTACCAGACTACATGGTACCACATCCCAGAAAACAATACCCTTATATTACATGGTTTTCCCCAGTTTCTTTTCTGATGATTAAAGTTTGCAGCATTGCAAATAACTGATAAATGTCAGATATATAATATATATGGACAAATACCGTCTTAAGTGCAACAATTTTATTGTAGTTTTTACTTCTTTTTCCTCCTCCACACTACATGTTTCGGCCCTAAATGG